CATGGGCCACCACATCCACCCCAAACAACTTTTTCTTTTTTTTTTTTTTGATAGGACTGGTGTTTGAATTCAGGGGGCACTTGCAAAGCAGGCACCCTACTGCTTGAGCCATGTGCCAGTCTATTTCATTCTGGTTATTTTGGAGATGGGTTCTCAAGAACTATTGCCCAGGGCTGGCCTTAAACTATAATCCTTCACATCTCAGCCTCCCAAGCAGCTGGGAGTACAGGCATGAACAACTGGCACCTGACTCAAAACAACTTTTAAAATCTTTCTCAAATGTCCTTTAATAGTCATTCACTCATGCCAGGTGCCAGTGGCTCATGCCTGTAATCCTAGCTACTCAGAAGGCAGAGATCAGGAAGATCACGGTTCAAAGCCAGCCCAGGCAAATAGTTCTTGAGACCCTATCTCAAAAAAACCCATCACAGAAAAGGGCTGTTGGAGTTAGCTCAAGGTGTAGGCCCTGAGATCAAACCCCAGTACCTCAAAAAACAAACAAACAAACAAACAAAAAACCACAACTGTTTTCGAACAGTGTTAGAAGTACAAGCAGAGATGACAAGACCCCGGCCTCAAGGCATCAGCACACACTACTTCAGAGCAGTTCCTGCTCAGGTGAAAGAACTCAAGCAGTCAACACTGAAAACATCGCCAGAAGCAGGTGCCAGTACTACAGGGAAAGGAAAGAGAAAGATGCCTGCAGGGCAGCTAAGTGACATAATTTCTGGTGTAGACGTTTTTTCTTAACACAAATACTTAATTGGAGTGCTTTCAGCCAGGCTTAATTTCTAAGGTACCACAGACTTCAGAACTCTTACTCTATTAACACACAAAACAGCACATGTTTTGGGCTTATAAAAATAAGCATTTACTCTTACCTCCACCCTCCCCAGATTTCCAGATGTTCAAACACAAAAAAATTAACTATTTTATTCTAAGTTTACAGGCCCAGCAGGGGTAGACAAAGGCCAAACACTGCCAGCTTCCAGGCCCATTTATACCTGAGTCCTTGCATCCATCCTTTTTGTAGATCAGATGAAAAGCAGGATCAAAAGCTGCTGCAAGGGCTGGGGTGTAGCTCAGTGGTAGAGCAGCTGCCTAGCATGTACAAGGCCCTGGTGCTGAGGTGCCCTCCTCAGCACCACAGGGTGGGGGCTGCAAATTCTCTTTCAAAAAGTCACTGAAGTGTATCAGAGTGTAACAGCTTACCAGAACACATTTTTATCAAAAATAATGAAATAATCCTAACATGGGGAAAAAATACTTAAAAACATAAGCCCTCTACCAAATGTTCTTTAGGCAAAAGGATGATGAAGACTGTCTGCCAGTAAAAATGGCTCCAAGGAGGCTGTGCAGCCTGGGAGGAGTGAGCAAGAGAGCTAACTGGCTTCCTTCAGGCTTTGAGCACACAGACCACGGGCCCACAATTAATCATTCAGCACTTTCAAATGATTAAGCATTAATGAGGCCCAGAAGACCTACTACAGAAAATTAAAAGGAAGGCTTAAATAAATGGAAAATCATGCTATGATCCTAGAAAAGGAAAGGAAATGTTAAGATTGTGTCAATTATCTTCAAGTCAATTTATATATTTAATGTAATTCCAACCAAAATCCAGCCAGAGGCATGATGGATATAAAATAATATTCCTCAGAACACAAGAACTAAAGGAAGCAAGCCTACACTTTACCAGGCAATGAACACTAAGAAAACGAAAACTTCCATCCTATCCACTCCTATGAAAACGGATGTGTAGACCAAGAGAAAACTCAGACAACCCAACTACATGGAGGGAAAAAGGAGATATTTTGTAACTGGTGCTAAATGACTAGCTAATGAGTAAGGGGGTAGGGGAGGACAACCGTGCTCTATACTTTAAGTCAAATAAAGGTAAGCAGTTTTAAAAAAAGAAGAAAGCAGTGTACACAACAGTGCTCAGGTGGTAAATGAACTTTCCCTACTCTCCCTTATCATAAGGGGTGAAGATTTCCAGCAACAGCCAGACTGGGGAGCAGTACAGAACTACAGAACTAGAACTTATACTCTCTCCTCTGAGCACCCTCCCTGCACCAGCACTAGGACTGCTGGCCAGCCAGCTTCAAAAACATGCAGAGCTCAGACTGTCCTGGCTATTTGTAAGACAGTTTTTAAAATGCATAAAAGCAGGTTGGAGCTCGAGCTCAGTGGTAGAGCACTTGCCTAGCGAGCATGAGGCCCTAGGTTCAATTCCCCAGCACTACCACCCCCACCACAAAAGAAAGAAAAAACATTAAGGCAATGAGAAAACGTGTGTTTGAAGCAGGGATCTGCTTTCTACCGCAACAGTCTAAACACTTCAGCTCAGCTCCCTACAAGCAAATGTGAAGTGTGTCAGATGTTTCTCAGGCCTAAATTTAAATACACAATCTAAACAGGAGATTGACCTGGAATTTACATTTGAAACTACACTATTAAAAAAAAAAGTGCACATGTGCTATTAATAAGGAAAATACTGTTTGTCTTCAGAGTAAGAAAGAAGAGGGGAAAAAACCCAGATGTTCAAGGCAAGATTTACTTTAGGTAATTCCTTCAGGGTGTACAGATTAGGGAAAAATCATCATTCTGAATTTGCCTTTTCTTCTAAAAATGCATCACTAAGCTTAGGTGGGAACTAAGTCACACAAAAAGTGGGGTGAATTAAGACTGATTAGAATGAATCTTGGCTCCTACAAACTTGCATATGCAAAAGAATTTTATAAGACCCAACAAGAATCCCAAGATAGGGAAGAGACACTGAAAAGGTAAGCCAGACCACATTTCCTATGAGAAGAGTTCTCATATAACCAGATGTCCAAATTAGCAAGGGGCCTACTTCCCCACCTGCGGTGCTAGGGATGGAACCCAGAGCCCTCCAGCATACTAGATGCAGTGCTCTCCCACTGAGCTACACAATTCCTCTTCCTAGGTTGTGTACCGTCTTTTTTGAGAAAGGGTCTTACCCTGTGGGCACAGTTGGCCTTGAACTCTTGGGTTCAAATACTCGTCCTGCCTCAGCCTCCCAAGCTGCTGGGACTACATGTGCATGCCATCACACACGACTCTCTGAGTGATTTCTACCCAACACCTCTCTTTTTTTTTCTTTTTTTTTTTGGCATACTGGGGCTTGAACTCAGGGCCTACACCTTGAGCCACTCCACCAGCCCCTTTTTGTGATGGATTTTTTTGAGATAGGGTCTCATGGAACTATTTGCCCAGAGCTGGCTTCAAACTGTGATCTTTCTGATCTCTGCCTCCTGAGTAGCTAGGATTACAGAAGTGGGACACTGGTGCCTAGCCCACCATCTCTCTTGACCCTATTTTATTCATCCCTATTTTGCCCCCTTTTGCTTAAAGAAAGGGGAAAAGCTATTGTCATGTATTTGAGAAAAGCTTTTTCATCTGACTAAGAAAATAGTTTAAGATGAGTGACTCACTTCTCAGAAGTGTGGCACAGCAGAATACAATGTAAGCTAACCAAATAAAAAATCCTTCCATGACTGAAATATCGCATTAGCTCAGGAGCTAGGATGCATACTACCATCATTTTAGTGAATGATTTTAGGTTACCCTTTTACATATTATCTTAAGTTAAGGTCATCTTCTTTGAAGGGCTTTATTTAATTTTCTATGAAGAGCTTTGAACGTCTGCTTTTTAAGCTTATTTAAGTTGCCAGTATTTTGTTTTCAAACTTAGAGTCACTAAGTCTTCCTAGTCACTTGAAGCCGTGCAGCTCAAAGTCTTTTGAGTGGACAGAAAACATACTTTATGACAGCTTGCTTTCCTCCTCTAATGTCTCCCATACAAAAATGTGAACACAATAAATTCTCTATGCATAAAATGTTGAGACAATGTATATATTAAAATAGACAGCTGTATAACTGCTTGATGTACTAATGATATGCTAATACCAAAAATACCTAAAGCAATCTAATATCCAGTAATAAACAGATGGTTGCATATCTTTATTGATCTATTAGGGTAAGACCATTCGGCCATTAATATGATTACTCACTTGGCAAATACTGCTTGAACCCCTGCTATGTGCCAGACACTGGAGAAAAACACTAAACTAAAGATATGTGGTCCCTGCCCTCAGAAATCTCAGTGTAGAAAAGACAGATTAAAAAAAAAATCATCTAACAACTATAGACATAAGCACAAACAACAGGGAACCCAATATAATTGGGGGAAGGATAAGTTACTAAATCATTTGAATTGGACCCTGAAGGATGAACAGGAATTTGACAGGGGGAGAGCTGGGCCAGAAGGCTAGGGGCACTTCTGCCTTCCAGGCTGGACCAGCACATGCAAAGATGCACTGGGAAGAGGAAAGGAGCATGGTAGGATGAGTGTCTACTGGCTAGTCCTGGTAAAGGTGCACAACCAGAGAGGGAATGAAAGAGACAAGAAAGATAAGCAAGCAGATGAATGGATCCAACAGAGAACTAACAGAGAATGCAGCAATATGGAAAACTGAGTAGAATGTGACATCTAATGTCAATAGTAAGACTCGAATAATATAACTAAATGGAAGAAATGTGGATTGAGATGAGTGAAACTGGCAGTAGTTTATGCTACGTGACTTTTACACTGGTAAAGTTTCCCCCAAAGGAGGTGTACTGCTAAGTTAGAGCACATCTGGCTGACAAGACTAGAAAACTGCTAAAAACTGAGAAAAGTTGCTAACAGTAAACAGTGACTATGACACGATAAACTTTAAAACACAAAATACATAAGTGCAGACATGATATGACTGAACTGTATGGTTTAAAAGCTAACGAGAACATATTTGAAATCGCACAGTACTTTGTTTGTTAATGACAGAACATTAAACAATGTAATGATTTACTGAGAATACACTAAGAAAAGGTACCCTAGCAAATTAGAAGATAAGGTCAGGAATGTAATATATGCAAAAGGTGTCACTATAAATACATCTCTGCTAAGGGACAAATGCCTTAATACAAATCAGTTTTACCTTTTTTTAATGAATGCAATGCTGAGGTGAAGAAGGTCAAATAGCCAGGGGGCTGGGGTGAGCCACTGAACTCAAAGAACCCGAGAACACCAGGCTGCAGGAACAAAAGCACAATCAGGTGACTGAGGTACATTTTAAATACTAACATTAGAATTTGATAATTCGTGCTTTTTGTTGCATTTTGTTCTTTAAAAAGCCTAAAAGCTGAGAAGATGGCAAGCTGGGATGGAACTTTGGTCTCCATTTAGGCAGCATCCAGGTTAGCGCGGTGGCAGCCTTTATAGGAAGGCCCAATGGCTACCTTATTCAGGGCCACGGAAGCTGACACTTCCTTCTCCCTCTCTAAGCAGGTCTTTCTGCTTCTTCTGACAGCACAGTTCTCCCAGCCCCCAGCTTAAAACCTCACTAACTGAGCTTAGGCACTCACTCCCTTTGGTTTAACAACTCCAAGCAACTCTATTACTAACCTGTTTGTACCTTTCCCAAGTTTCTTCTTCAATCACTTCCTCTCACTCACTCTCTCCTGCCTTGCTGGAAATCAGATTAACATGATTGGTTTCACCTGTGATTAGGCCCCTTAAAGGGCTCTTTTCCCCTCATGCTACCCAGTGGTGAGCCTCCTCCCCAGTCAGGTCACTCTGCAGAGGCCCATCTCTTGCCATCACTCCTCCATGCTCACGATCTCATTGCCACCTGGTCAAGTCTCTTCTCTAAGCTTAGCCCTTGGAATGGCCTGCAATCTACCAAATCCACTAACTGTCCCCTAATGGACACATTCTGCCTTCCTGCTCACAGTACTGTCTTGCCTCTTTGGAGGTCTGGTGGCACTCCTGTCTGTGTTGGTTCTGTGATGATTACATTCATCTTTTTTTGGTGTGTGGGGGGGGTTGAATTCAGGGCTTCAAATTTGCAAAACAGGCATTCTATCACTTGAGCCACACCTCCAGTATATTTTGTTCTAGTTATTTTGGAGATGCGGTCTCCAGAACTATTTGCCCAGGCTGGCCTGGAACCATGATCTGCTCAATCTCAGCCTCCCAAGTAGCTAGGATTATAAGCATGAGCCACCAGAGCCTGGCAATCATATCCATCTTAAAATCCAAACCGTTAGATCCCTGAGGAAATAGTGCTGGGCCTGGGGTCAGAAGACCTAAACTGGCTGGGTGGAGTGGTATTTATCTGTAATCCTAGCTACTTGGGAGGTGGAGATAGCAGGATCGCTATGAGGCCAGCCCTGGGCAAAAACGCAGGACCCTACTGAAAAATAATTAAAACAGAAAGGACTGGAGGCATGGCTTAAGGTCCTGGGGGAGGGGGAAGAAGGCTGGGGGAAGGCCTAAGCTCAAGTCCAAGCTCCACAGAGTGACTGTGGAGTGAGCCTAATGAACTGTGATGCACTAGGCACTTCTTTCTAGCCTCAAAGCCCATGTTCATAGTAAGGCTGACGATCACAGGGACAAATCAGATTCAAAAGCTAAGATGGTAATGTTTATAGTCAGGATGTTAGATAAAAGGAAATATCTGATCTGCAGTGGAACATCATCTTCCACTTGTTTAGATTCAACTGACTTTAAGTAAAACAAATGGTTTTCACTGACAAGAAAGTGAGATGCAATATTTAAACCTAACATCTAGAAAATCTAGCTACTAACCCATTTCTCAAACTGAAGTACTAAGAAAACAACGTTCTGGGCTTTTTTTCTGGTTTTGGTTTTGGTTTGCAGTACTGGGGCCTCTTTAAGCATGCACTCTCCCACTGAGATGTATCCCCAGACCAAAAGCAAAGTCACCAAAACAAAATGTCTTTGGCTCTTCTCCTTTAACAAGTCAACAAACAATTAACTTAAAGTAGAACCATTCTGTGATGGTATAATAAGTTTTCCAATCAAGAACAAAAGGGAAAAAACCTTCAGAAATTCTTGCCACTTAGTTACTACTGGGCATAAGATAACAAAAACGAAAACTAAGAGGAAGAAAACAGACTAATTTAAGTTTCTTTACATTCTGACCAATCGTCCAAACCAAAACCAATGGAATAAATTAATTCAATTTAGTAAACGTTCAATCACAAATTAAATGCTGTGAATTTTACTTCTTTTCCCACATAAACAGGTCTATAGCCACATGCATGTATGTAATAGCACACCTGTATACATACATATATGCACACTTATATTCACATATTCATCAAAGTAAAACAAACATGAATGTTGGAACCAGGCACTGGTGACTTGGGAGGCAGAGATCAGGAGACTGAGGTTAGCAGCCAGCCCCCAGGGAAATAGTTTGAGAGAGTCTCGAAAATACCCATCACAAAAAAGTGGCTCAAGTGGTAGAGTACCTACCTAGCAAGTGTGAGGCCCTGAGTTCAAACCCCAGTACTGCCAAAAAGAAAAAACATTAATGTTGGTTCTCCAAGGGGAATCCAAATTAACCCTTTAAAGATGCACAGAGACTGGACTGTGCATCTGTTTGCAGGTGTCCTCTACAGACACCTCTACAATATAAAGATTTGTTCACACTGCTGGAATCACTGCGGTAACTTTTTTCTTTTGGCAGTGCTGGGGACAAAGCCCAGGACCTTCTGCATGCTAGGCAAGCACTCCACCACTGAGCACCACCCCAGCCCTCCTACTGCAGCAACTTATACAGCCTGAACACAGGAGCCCTGTCTTCAGAGGAACTAGGACTGAAATTTCCAAGCCATTTGTCCAAATGTAGCAGGGAGGAGGATCAGAAGAAAACAAACTAGGCCTGAGTCCTGATAAAGTAGCAGAGGGAAGGGACGGCATAGCAGAGCTAGAACCTAAAGAATTCAAAGGTGAAGAAGGTCACACAGCACCGGGGGTGGAAGGGCACTTAGCACTAGGGTGAAGTAGCCAATAGCACTGCATGGAACCATATGTGGGTTTTTTGTTTGTTTGTTTAATTGCCTCTGTCACCTGCTTGCAAGGGTATATAAGGTGAGACCCCTTTGTTCTCGGGGGTCTGTGCTGGCACAATAAAACGTTGCTTCCTGCTAAATGCCTCAGAGTCTCCTATCTCAGCTAGCAACCTCCCACAACACAAAGATACTAGCAGTACAATGCAAAACAGTCCCATAAGTAAAATTTATACTCTTCATTGCCAAAGAAATGAAGAACATAAGAGTCAGTGACTATCTGAGATGATTAAAGGGTGTGTAAATTGTGAAATACAAGCCATTTAAAACATAACAAACAGGTGAAGTACATTAAATACTACTAGACAGATACAAGTCTGTACTGAATTTTGAAAACTGGACTGTTGAGAACATAACCTAAAATTAATACTTCAAAATAATAAAAAGAGAGACAGTGAAATGATAGCTGTTTATTTATATTACAAATTATTATTTTAAAACCAGGCTGTGTTTATGTTGTAGGTAAAACAATTTTGCAACTATTCCCCTAGAATTTCAATGTCTTCCCATTAGAAGCTATATCATTATCAAAGAAATTATCACAAATTAGCTACACATACTCTGCTTGCTTCCTTGTTTCTTGCTTAAACCCAGTGAGTTGGAGGAACAAACACATCTGCACACAGACCTTTCTAGGGTTAGGCCTTTGTTTGCTCAAAGCAGGCAACTCTAACCCTGCACCTGACACCTTTGGAGGTCCCCTCCAGAGGAGCTGGCAAAGCACCAGCACCAGCCTGGCACCAGGCACCAGTCCTGGTGGTACTCTGCCATCCGTCCTCACTCTGGTGCTGCCAGTGGCGCATCTCTGATAGTATACCCAAGGCTTAAACAGCTCCCAGGTGAACAGTCACAGAAGCGACTGCCAGCCTTTCTCTTTCCTTTGCTTACACCAACCTGTCAACCGTGTCACCAGGATTACTCCTCCCTCTCCCCTTTCCTCCTACCCCATCAGCCCCATTCCTTTCTTAGGATTTTGTACTTCCACTCCTATCTCCTAGAGCACTTTCTCCAGTCTCCTCAGGGCTTGGTCAAATTATAAGGCTTCACATGATTTGGGTTTCTGTTCAAACATCATTTCCTAGAGAGGTCTTCCCTGTTCTCCAAATACACCCCGCTCCTCATCTCCCTTTCTCTATTTTCCTTCACAGCACTTCTTATCTGAAGTTACCTGTATAGTCACTTCCTAGTGTTGTCCTGATAAATGACCACAAACGGGCAGTTCAAAACCAAGACATTCTTCTCTCACATTCCCTGATGTCTCCAAGGGAAGGAGCCTTCTCTGCCCCTTGCAGCTCCTGTAGCTCGAGGCCGTCCTCCATCCGTCCTCCAGTCTCTGCTCTGTCTTCACATGGCCCTCAAGGTGCTGTCTGCTCTTCGAATCAACACACAGCCTTTACATTTAGCACCCACCCCAAATTCAGAATGATTTATCTTGAGACCCTTAATTAATTACACCTCCAAAGACCCTAGTTTTAAGTAAAGTTTCAGAGACATAAATATTGGGAGCATGCTATTCAGTCAGTACTCCTTGTTCATCTGTCTTCCTGTTTGTAAGGCTGGGGGTGTACACTAGAGGTCGAGCATTTGCCTAACATGAGCAAAGGATCTGGGTTCAAACTTTTCCTGATAATTGTATATCTCGCTGTTGTAATTGTACTTCTAGTTCAGAGTACCTGGCACAGAGCACACAATAAAAACTTGTTAATGAATGAATGGGGATAAAAAGATAAATAAGGCAAAGCTCCTTCATAAAATTTATAAATACTTAGCAAAAAAAAAAAAGACTGCTAGATTACAACTTGACATAGTTTGTGTTTTTAATTCCATTCCACGATGTACAACATATCAGTACTGTTTACAAAAGGCTGGAAATCAGCTATTTATAGAAACTCCTCCACATAACTCCCTCGGGTGTAAACAGGCACTACTGGCAGCCTAGTGCCATTTCAGCAGATGGTGCACACCCTCTAGTGGCCAGAAGAATAGAAAATGCAACTGCTATGAAGCTGAACTGACAGAAACAGTACTGATTTGCTCAACATTCAGACACAATCATACACACTAGGAGCCAGGCCTTCTGGTTTTTCTCCAAAACGCTCAAGTTTTTTGTTACCTAGCAACTTACTTAACACTCCCACTCCACCCCCAAAAAT